GGGAGGCAATATATGCAAAAGGCCTTACCGAGAAAATCTGCTATGTTACGACCGTTGGTGAATCTTCCGGTGGGCCCGTCAGGGAAATCGACGCCATACGGTCGATAATTCGCCCTTGCCTCTGTCTGTAGAAGATTATTATTGCCATTATCGACTAACGAGTCTCCAAAAATGAAGAAGCACGGGACTTGCGGTGCGCCTAGAAACGACCGTTGCAAGTTCGCGATGATGACTACGAAAAACGCGACAGGTGGCGATGTAAGCACGAAAGCCATTTCAATTTTCAAGAAATTAAAAGTGTCGATTTTCGAGTCGATAGTGTTGCCGATGATCGATGAACAGAGAGTCAAAATCATGCAATACAATATTTCATAAGATCTTGCTTGTAGCATCTCTAGAAGAACAGAAAAAATAACTTCAATAATAACTAACTTAAATGGAGAAAATAATATATGTTTATGGAAATTGCCAGCTTTTGATTAGTTGATTGGTCAACTTTTTAAGCTATTAATAAATGTAAGAAAATAGATCTTGTGGTGGATATGTTAACGCCATAGATTGAATCTGTTTATCTCATGGAGTTGGTGTTAAGAGTTTTTTTCGACAACTAATTGCCAGGATACGTTTTCGGTACGTACGCTACAAATATGGGCACGCCATTTGCATGTGGTTTATTGGTAAGACCTATAATTTTGTAAAATAATTATAACATTTTTTGAATATTAAATATGGTCGAATTAACTGAAATTAACTTCAAGGTCAATGTGATTGATCACAGACTGCTTTAAAAAAAAAGTTTTATAATTTCAATTAGTTAACTTGCACATGCGGTCAGATCATATGGTACATAACAGGGACAGTCACATTGTTAGTAACTAGTCTATTCTCCTGAAATCGTAATGCTTATTGATTATTTAAAGTTCAAGTTACCTTGCAACTATTACTTCATATGTGCACATTCACAAGTAATAATATAAGAATTGTTTATAATATTAATTTATGATAGTTTAAATTTGATGTTGTTCTGTATAGTGTTCTTGCAAAAATTTTATGGAGGCGTCGGATGATTTTCTTATGAAGTCATCCACCACTTAATATATTGACACTTGTCCAAATTGTATTTATTACATGACGCGCGCTTATCAATACACTATTGATGAATAAGTGTAGATGACTCTATAAGTCGAGTCATCCGATGGCTCCATAGCAAAACTGATATAGCTGAATGGAAAAGGAAAATAGGATGAGTTGTGACATTTTATCTCATGTTAAGATTTTTTTTTTCTCTAAGAAATTGATATTTTGAAACTTGGTGAATTTGCTCATTTAATTATTCACATTTTTTTTAGATATTTTGCATATTATATAATAGTTACATAAACATAATTTCAATAGTTCTGTATCACCACATACGTTATTTATAACATTGCTCGTATCTCTACAAGCCAAAATTCTTGTACATATTTACTCCATTTTTGTGAAAAAATTTGTAATATTGTTACATTCAAAATAAACTTTACATAAATCATTCGAAAACTTTTTATAAATAACAAATAATGCAATTTAAAAATTAATGATATAAATAAATTAAAAAAATAAACTCTAAATGTGAGTATATTTATAAATAAAATAAATATTTCATAAATATGAAAATAAAATAAAAATTTGAAGACAAATGGTGTAATTTTCTCAAAATTCTTCTCACTCGCGGGCCAGATGAGGTGGGGTTTGTGGTGGGATTATATGTCTAGGCTTGGTCGGGCCAATGGCGGCCGGGCCATGCAACCTTGTCTACTGCACCATATTTTTCAATTGGGCCCCATTAAGGCCCAAGTGGTTTTTAAAAACCCAGCCATTCTAAATAATACCGATGATTTCAAGTTCAAGTTTCAAACACATTACATATGTTATTTCAATTTTCAATACTCATCAAATTAACTAAACAAAAAGAGGTTCGCAAAACATCTTATTTATTCACATCAGTTAGTTAAGAGAGGATTAAAATACCATTATATTGTTCTGCATATATTTGTTACCCAAAAAAAATAAAAAATAGAGATTATCTGTTTTCTCTTTTTACAGAATACTAAAATAATGGACAGTGAATATTTGATCCATCACTGCATTAATGAAGTGGGAACAACAACACAGTAGTCTGTTGCTATCAAAGTCAAGAAGACAGAAGCCGAAGCCTTGTACCACATGCCAACAAGTGCTTCAAATGCATCTCAAGTAAAAAATGAAGAAGAAGCAAAAAAGAAATACTATTAAGCCATACTGTAATAAATATACCTAGCTAGAAGAAAGGGATTAGTAGTGGAGAACTTGTCGTGAAACACATGGGGAAGATCTTGCATTTCTCCTGAGTTACATATAATTTATTTATCTTTCTCAATCAAATTCTAACAAAGGGGAACTTACACATCCATTGGCCAGTTAATCGCTTGAAATTACAAACGCCCTCTCGAATTTTACGTGTCGCGATGTGGGCCCACCGTCATCATCACAGTTGTTTTCGATGTCTCGAGCAACAAGGCACTTGCATGTTCTCTCGAAACGAAAAATTTCGTCTCGTCCATTAAATTCCCCTGCATTAAATGCTTACTTCATCCCCTTCACACCATATAGACATGACTGTTTTATCGTGTTATTGTATCAGATTTTGCACAGAATTCTCTGACTTATGGCTTCACTCGTTTGTATCGTCTTCTATCTTTACTTGCATGCATGCACTGCAAGGCCACTTACGGTTTCGGATAAAGAAACTGCCGTGCAGAATGAGGTCTCCAACGAGGTTAGATTCGTGGTTTTAAGACTTGTAATAAAGTTTGTGATCAAAATACATTCTTACTGATCAAAAAATCTTTGTCCAGGATGTGAAGGGTTTGGATCATGCTACAAACCTTCCTTGGGAGATTTTAGCTGATCAAGAAGGTGACCATCTCCTNTAAAAAAAAAAAAAGAAAGAAATAAAGATTTTTCATTAACTTTTTCTTCTTCTTCTTCTTCTTCAATTTCGGATACCAACTCTTTATTCTACTGATGATACTTTTGCTTCTGAAATATACTGGCAACTTTTTTCTTGTGCAGGCGAACGGGACAAAGTAAACGCATATACTGGAAACATTATGGTCCATGCTACAGGAACAGAGGTACAATCTTTTGACAAATTCATATAAATCTACTAAAAGCTTATTTGTTGCATAGATGCAAAGCAGTTCGATATAAAGCTAAGATTACTGTACACTTGCACGAATAGGTTGTTCCAGTGATTATCACGCGTACACGCATGCATGATCGATTTTCTGAGACTAGAAAAATAGGTTTTTTTTTTTAGACGTACTTCAGATTAATATTCGGTCAAAATGTATTTTTCTAAACAAACGAAGATTAAAAAAAAAAATAAAAGAATTGTGTGCAGGTACATATGAGAGTCGAACGGTCAGCACTGGAATCAACACCACGCAAAGCTGAAGAAAATTTGAGCTCGAACCATAGTAATAACACGGTAGAGGATGTAGTCGCCATGGATTATGCTCAACCTCATGGCAAACCTCCAATCCATAACAGGGAGACCTAAATATACATATATAAAAACAAACACATATTTGCATGTTCATCTTTCCCTATATATATTGAACTATTCTGTTTTTTTAATTTTTCTTATTGTTGTTCAAGTCTCTCTCGTCTGTGTCGTTACAAAGTTAACAGAAACTTCCGGCAACTCCTCAAGAAAAACTGTCCGGCACGTTTGAGCCGCTATGTATGTATGTATTTATATATCTGGGGTCGGCCTAATTCAATGCATATAGACAAGCAGCAGCTGATGAGAATGTGATTAAATTGGGGAATAATGTTCCCCTTTTGCATGTTGCCTGTTGTCTGCATTAAATGCGTAGATAAATGTATGGGGAAAAAAAAAAATTATATAAACCTGATGATGATATTTGTATCCCTTTGCCACCACAATAAATGTTTGTTTCTATTGCTATCTTTGCCCTGTTCAAGAAACTTGTGCTGTCAGTTGGGAGTTTCGGTTAATGTCCCAACGGTTACTGCAACTTATCTGGAGAGTTTTCAAAGTGGGGATGAACGTCGACAGTGCCATTTACAAGAAATTAAAAAAATAAAATAAATAAATAAATAAAATGCTTTGATTTTTCAGAGCAGAACCCAAACAATAAGTCTATCGAACTTATAGATTTTAAAGTATTATCATTACAAAGAAGAAGAATTTCATATCAGAGGCACGTGCTAGCTTATTGTAATTACGCCGTAGAAAAGTATGCTTATAATTAAAATTAATATTAAGCCACATTTCTGTACAATGTAACAAAAATAAATCTACAATTGAGAAATCTTTATCTCAGTTCATAAAATCAGATATTTTCCTCTCATTTATAAACACGAGATTCCTGAACAACTTTAGTCGAGCAATTTTTGGTTACTATGCATCAAGATAATCTCACACTTCCCATAAGACCAACAAAATATAAATGCAATAATCAACATCACATGTATAGAAAAAGGCACAACATTTATCAATCCAAAATAAAGGATGGGCTTTTTTGCCAATTAAATTAAAATAGCAGCTGTGATCAAATCAACTACCACTACAGTTAATAATGAATGGTTTTACATAATCGATGAATTCCGAAGTCCTGATCCCCAATTTGAGATCAATCTCACCACCACCCAACCAGAAGAAATCCGGAGTAAGCTTCACGATTGCTTCATCCAAAATCACCTGGTACATACAAAAGGAATTTTAACAACAAAATGATTCCATAAACATACATCAGCCTTCTCATTGTTGTTGATTCAATTTCATATAAAAGGCAAATGGGACAACAGGCCGGTTCAATCTGAATTGTCATGCAGTTAAGAAAAAATGGTTCCACATTTTCTACATGCACTGAGCTACAATGGTGCGACTTATCGAATCTGAACACATTGAACCTCATCTCAGATTTAAGTTCAAGTATGGCTAAAGCTAATTGGTTTTATTTTTCGTCAGTTCACTAATGGAAAGGAGATATATAATAAACACAAGAATGCAGCTAGAATGATATATCATTGTTCCTAATTACTGGATCCAAATCAAATTGCTGCAGGAAGGCAAGATTATCTTCCTGAATGAATATCATTGGCATGCTGGTGGGTTTCTTGGAGGAATGAGGAATCTCAATGTGCTATAATCAATTCTTCAAATTTAAACCAAGACAAAAACCATTAAACAGCTTTGTCTTAATCCAAACGATTCAGACATGGCAGTTTAATAACAAAAGCAGTACATATAGCACGAGATAACCCGAACTAAGATAATGCGGTAATGCGAAGTGAAATGGACTTTTTTCCAAGTGCTACAGTACAAAGTTTGGAATTTTCCTACAAGAAAGAAAAAGATGGATATCTTACCGGTATATCAGTTTTCATGCCAATACATGTTACTCCATTGTGTTCATAACCAGTCAACTTGGCAGATGCTTCTTCTGGAGCAAGCCTCACTGCATGATTTACTCTTGTCAGAGTCGATATCCTCACAAATTAAAGGGACAAAGTAAACCCTTTTTGAAGATACAGGGCACAGATTCGTATAAGTAATCAGTACAGCCAAAGATAGTGCATATGAACAAGCATAGTTTGTCATTTGCATTGAAGTAAAAACTTCCATCTGTTAATGATAATGGTGTATGGCCCGGACCAAAATTCAAATAGGGTCAGAAACATCAAAACTTCAAATCCTTGTAACGAAAGGCCGAACTAGTTCATCTCTTATTGGGTATAATTTCCCATGCTACTCCATTTTATAGAAGACAATAGGAGCTGCAGACCTCCGATAAAACAATTTGTCTGGAAATGAACAGTGAAGAAATTCAAAAGAAAGAGAAAATAATCTGCTAACAAGAACAGGGATTAGTAACTTGAACCCAATCAAACTGAAAGTTTTCAACTTACTGTTGAACTTCTTTTTTGATATCTTGCCATCATTGAGCGTATACAAAAAGTTCTTGACAGTCTCAGCATTGAAGCGAGCAGTATACTGCCAAAAAGGAAAAAAAAAAAAATCACAATGATAATTCTTTGTTTTTCCAGTTAAGAGTTTTATGATAATGCTACAGTCCCATAACGGAACCATTCCTCTATATAAAACTCCAATAAGAAACTGCCACATCACTTTTGCTTGACTACAGCCTTTCACATAATAATCTAAAATTTTAAACAAAGTAAAAATAGGATAGACACCCAAAGACACTAATTACCTGAACGACAACAACATAGTACTTGGAATAGTTTCTATTGCTGCAATCAGTTACATCGGGCGGAGCCTGAGTGTTGACCTGCAAGAAATAAAATGATTTATTATTCAGAGAAACCTAAAACTGAAGGTCTAGATAAACTAGATAAAGAAATTAAAAAAAATGGACTTATTGAACAATCACTGCTCTTAAAAGTCCGTCGACTGTCATAAACATCTTGTATACCATATAATAACAACAAAGCAAAGCCCCACTTACCTAGAGGCCTTAGTATGCATTTCACAGATACACACATACGTTAGCATCTATGTTTTGAAGAAAAAAAAAACATGAAATGGAACTAACATAATGATATCTTTTAAAGGAAATTGGAGATGACAGCAGAATCTGACAGTCTGCAATTTTTCTTCCAAAATCCAAAAAACAAATACCAATTCAGTTTCCACTCAAATAAATTTCAAAAGATTCATCACTCAAGTAAAAGACACTAGACAAGAGAATGCCTGAGAATATCTCGGGCGCAAATGACAATGTCTGCTTGGAGCCTTGGACATGGCTTTAAGAGCAAAACAACAAAAACTAGATTCACTGGAAGGTACTGTATACCAATACGCAGCCCAAAGTATACACATTTGATCAATGCTACAAATGTAAGTTAGTCGACTGGCCGAGTCTTTATTGCATATGAAGGAATCAACTAAAAGGATCCTATACTTTAAAGCAAACGTTTGGAAAAAAACGTATGAACATGGAAAGCTAAGAATTAATTTGTAAGTTGTAACACATTTGACAACAAACTAACACCATTCACCAACCCGAAGCCCATTTTGTTTTCTTCTTTTATTGGATAACAATGCTCATATCTAACAGTATTTCCTCCATCCCTTTTACTCTACAAACAAATACAATATGGAATTTGTCTCTAACACTCTTCATCAGTAAATAAGGGCGAACCAAGAAAGTACTCTACATATTTGTTTTTTCAACACATTTCCTAACATGCGTGACAAATCAAAACGCATGTGGGATGAACAATCTAAACGCAGATCAGAATATGAACACACGTTGTAGGTTCCTAATAAATCTAAAGGCTACAATCTGCTACGGAATGTCAAGGGCAAAAGGAAGTACCAAAACAATGCTTTTGCAGAGATGGTGAATGGAGGCTGCGCCAAGGACGTCCCGCCTGGCTTCTAAAGTCCAGTCGTAGTAATCGGAGGGCACGCGTTTGAAGGAGAAACCTTTAACGGCGTTGGCGGCGAGGATTGCGGAGAGTCGTCCTTCTGTGGTGGTTGGGCCACCGTCATCGGCGGCGCAAGAGGGGTTGTGAGAGGGCTTGGTGGTGATAGAGAGCTCGAGATCGGATATGCGGCCGAGGATTCGGGTTTGCACTTTCTCTAAGTCCGCCAGAGCCTCCATGGATGCCGTGCCCTCCGGTGATGTGCTCACTGCTCAGTCGCACGCCTCCATTTTCTTTTCTTTTTCGGGGGAAGGGTATGTTTGTCCTCTGAACTCTCACTGCTGAGTCACACCCAATGAACCGAGCGCTCGAGTGAAAACTTGGCTCGAGTTCGAGTTTGACCTAACTCGAAATGAGCTTGAGCGACTCCAGAATAATCGAATCGTTCTCACGCATAAGTTTTGGAAGGTCGAGCTGCGAGATATGTAATAAATTACTAAAAATATTACAATATTTTATATGGTACTCAATGATAATTTTATTTTAAATTTGAGTCAAATTCGAGTCGAGCTTGAACAATCTTTCGAGCATTTTAATATCAATCAATCTCGAGCCGAGCTCGAACGACTGTCTTCTTTTGTCGAATCGATCTCAAGCGTCATAAATCGAGCTTGAGTAGGTAAAAATATCAATCTTGCTCGATAAGGCCAATACTCAACTTGACTCACCTTGGTTGCAGTTCTAGTCGCGTGCCTCTATTTTTATTTCTTTTCTTTTTATTTTTCTTATACTACTTTTAATAATAATAATTAAATTAATTACATATTCCCTTAGATATTAACAAAATAAAGATTTTTTTAAACGACAATTATATTAATAATTGGAAAATTCAAAGAGTACAGATCACGGTATTAACATAACAATATAAAGAATCATTCTTCCTAATAAAGCTTTAATATTGAAGGTCCCTTATGGGATGCTTGGAAATAAGATGATTTGATTATGCTTGAAGTTATTTGATGATTAATTTTGAAAAATATAGTATGATTAGTTGTTAGTGAGAGTTTTGGTTTTATATTAAAATAATATTTTAAATAAAATTATTAAAATTGATTTGATGTAAAAGTAGGAAAAATATAATGTGAAATGATAGTTAATTAAATTATGTGAGTGGATGATAAATTATGAAAGTTATGTAGGATAACATGGGTAATTTAGAATATTTGAGTGGCAAATATCAATTGAATTGTGAATTTTGTATGTCATCAATAATAATTATGAAAAACAAAGATCTCCCAAATATGACCAGCGGCATATACATAATTTGTTATCAGTTAAATAAAATAATAAATTAGGATTAATTAGATAGTTAAATACTTAACGTAATCTTATTTAAAAAAATTGGAAATCAAATCAATATAAAATTTCCCATACCGTTCGCATATCGCCTCCTTTGGGTCCTTCCTTCACCTTCACTTCACCTTCGCAGAATCAGAGTGACGATTCACAAATTTCACCCCTCAGTTCTCAACGCGATTGTTCGTTCACAAAGCCGAAAGGGTACGTAGGAACCGTGGGGCTGGTAGTCGCAATTTGTCAACTAGTGCCACGATTGCTCGTTCGCTTCTGTCACTAGTCGGAGCCGCGATTGCCCGTCCGCTTCTATCACTCGTCGAAGTTGCTTCTGTCAGTCGTTGGAGTTGCGATTTAGGGTTGGTATTTATGCTGCAAACTTTTTTCTTATTCTTGTAAAATTAGGGATGGTATTTATGCTTATGCCTGCAATAGAATTAGTGTTGGTATTCCGTATTTATGCCTGCAATTTGTTACTTTTTATGAAGTTGTGGTGTGAGGTGTGACTGGTGTTAGAACTTGAATGTTGGCTGACAAACCATTTCTCCACAAGAGATGAACTGAGATGTGTAGAGACCTATAGCATGTATGCCAGATTTATACACAACCAAATGTTTCCACCCTTTTGGATGCTTATGACGAGCATAGGCTTTCTGCAACATGAGAATAACTAACATTACAATAACAGTTATTAGACCAGGATTATATTTTTTTATGACATTGGTGTCTGCCTGGATGATACTAAAAAGTTCAAAAGGAAAATTTTGAGGCTGGTGCTTAAACTTTATTGTGGTTTGGTTTTGCTTTGCATTATGTTTGATTGTTTATTGTTGAATTATGAGATTTTACACTCTACGTTTGACTTTCTTTATTTCTAATGGGTTATGTTGTTTGTTTATAAAATGCGTTTTTGTGCTTTTGCTTTTGCTTTTCTGATTATTAGTCTTTTTTTGTGATGTTATTGTGCTCTGTATTTGTTGTGTTGCCTCAGACATTTATTAATCCCACTTGTATATTGATCTGCTCCTTGTGTCANTCGGTTTAAACCGATACTGAACCGATTTATCGGTAACCGAAAAATCGGTTACCGACCTCTTATCAGTTTGGTATCGGTTTAAAAATTAGTGAAACCGGAACCTATTGGATTAAGACGTGTGAGTTGGGTGAAAAGATCATGTTTGAGTGAGTTTGACGCAAGATAGAAACTTCATATTTATCTTAACAGTCGTATTTCATGCTTTTATCTATAGTGAGTGAATAACGGATATAAAGTGCAAAAATATGTCTACTTCTAAATTAAATGCATAGCAGCACTTCTTGTCATATTGATGCCTAAATTATATTCTCATTATCTGCCTATGTGCCTCAGCAGGTTCATATAATTATCGATCAAGGCATATGTGGTGTGTGCCAAATGTTGGCCCAGTCATCAATTATGTATGCCTCCTCCATTTCATAAGCCGACGAGAAGCATTTCGATCAATCAAATTGAAAAATGCATTCCCATGAAATGGAGACAGAGCAACAAACAACCGTTGAATATCCAAAAGGAAAGCAAACAGAAACCTTATTTCTCCCATGAAATCATTTCAAGATTATATGACCAAACTGATAATTATATGGTAAATAGCCTTCTCGCAATGTTAAACGACTTTGCTAGCCAAGGTCACTTGTCCAAAGCCTTCAGGATTTTTTCGCTCATTCAAGGCCATGCGTTAGCATCTTCCTCTTGTGATTCTATTGCTGGGTCATTGTCATCCCTGCTGTTATCTTGTACCAATCACAAGTTGCTTCCAGAAGGCAAACAGCTCCATGCCAAGGTAATAACCTGGGGTCTTCAAAATAACCGTGCATTGGTCCCAAAACTAGTTTCTTACTATACGGCTTTCGGTTTTCTTGATGATGCTCATTTCATAGCTGCAGGCTCGAACATTTTGCATCCTTTACCTTGGAATGTCCTTATTTCATCATATGTCAATAAAGGGCATTTTAATGAAGCTATATTTTCCTATAAACAAATGGTTCACAAGGGAGTAAGGCCCGATCATTTCACCTACCCGTCCGTTCTCAAAGCGTGTGCTGAGCAATCAACTCTTGATTTCGGAAGAGAAGTTCACAAATCTATCGATGCTAGCTCTCTCAGGTGGGACTTGTTTGTGCAGAATTCATTGATATCCATGTATGCAAAGTGTGGCGATCTGGAAACCTCCCGTTGTATTTTCGAAAAAATGCCGACTAGGGACCAAGTCTCGTGGAACTCAATAATCTCAGGATATGCCTATAGAGCTTTGTGGGATGAGGCTTTCAAGCTTTTTGAAAGGATGAGAGCAGCTCGTATGGACATAAACATCATAACATGGAACACTGTGGCTGGAGGTTGCTTGAAGACAGGCAATTTCAAGGGGGCTCTCGAATTGATCTGTCAGATTAGAGAAAGTGTTGGGCATCTTGATCCTGTGGCGGTTATAATTGGGTTGAATGCGTGCTCTCATATTCGTGCTCTGCGAACAGGAAGAGAACTTCATGGATCGGCCATTCGAAATGCTTCCATTGACTATGATAATGTGAAAAATGCACTGATTACCATGTATTCCAGGTGTGGCTACCTTTCGCATGCGCATATTATGTTTAGATTGTCCGAAACTAAAAGTGTAGTTACCTGGAATTCGATCATATCCGGTTTTGCACAGTGGGACCGGCCCGAAGAAGCCACGTATCTCTTTAAAGAACTGTTGCTTGTCGGCATTAAACCGAATTTCGTGACTCTTGCGGGGATTCTACCCCTTTGTGCCAGGGTGGCGAATCTGAGACACGGGAAAGAATTCCACTGCTACATTTCCAGGCGTGAAGAATTTCAGTGTCCCCTGTTGCTTTGGAATTCTCTTATAGATATGTATGCAAGGTCGGGTAAAGTTTCAACCGCCCGAAAATTGTTTGATTTGCTTGAGAACAGAGATATAGTTTCGTACACGTCGATAATAGTTGGGTACGGCGTGCAAGGCAATGGTAAAGTTGCTGTCGAGTTATTCGAACAAATGATAAGATCCGGAATAAAGCCCGATCCAGTGGCAATGGTTGCTATTTTGTCAGGTTGTAGCCATTCAGGCCTCGTGGCTCAAGGCCAATTGTTCTTCGAAAAAATGGTGACTGTTTTTGGCATAAATCCCGATCTGGAGCATTATTCTTGCATGGCTGATCTATATGGGAGGGCCGGCTTGCTGAGGAAGGCAAAAGATATTATCCTAGGGATGCCTTATGAGCCACCCCCCGAAATGTGGGCCACGCTCATCGGGGCATGTAGAATCCATGGGGACACTAATATTGGGGAATGGGCTGCCGAGAAACTTCTAGAAATGAGGCCCCAAAATTCGGGTTTTTATGTGTTGATTGCGAACATGTATGCTACTGCCGGTTGCTGGGGTAAATTGGCAAAAGTGAGAAGCTTTATGCGGGATTTGGGCGTGAGGAAAGACCCTGGCTGTGCCTCGGTTGATACTGGAGATGGGTTCGAGCCATTTATGGTCGAGGACAGTTCAAACAGTCAAGCGGATGAGATATACTCCTTGCTGGGCGGGCTGACTAAGCAAATGAGAGACATGGATGACGTAGTTCACGTTAACTTTGAAGCTGAAGGAGAATATTTGACCGAGAATTTTGAGCCGTAATTACTCCTGGCTGACAGTAAATTCAGTGGCGGATCTTGGATTTGATGTTAGAGGTATATCTGATGATCAGATTTTTCTTACAACTTGATGGTGCATTTCTTAACTGAAACCATTTGACCTTCAGTTAAGTATGTGAATGAAATATTCATCTACTTTTATGTGGTTTTAGTTATGAATAAGTCCTAAATTCATTAAGATTATGCTTTGATGTTGAGTTGCTTGATCGATTTAAATAGCTCCATTGTCTATGTTCTGAGATTTCAATTGTTGTGATTCTCATTGCAGTTCTACATCTACTTGGTTAGCCATGTATGCATTAGTATAATCCACGTACACTTTAGTATAATCATTCATTGGCATCTTAAGAATTTCAGGTTTTTATCATATATTATTTATTGAAGTTGTAAGTTTTTTCAATCAAAACAATCTGTTCTGAGACTTTGTTGTTTTAATTTTCTCCTTTTGTACCTTGTTCAAGCTGGAAAAAAGAAAAAAATAATGTACAAAGTGGGAAATATTTTGAATGCCATTCAGATACTGATGTGAACATCTCTAAGACAAATTGCTCAGCCAACTTCTTTCCACCAAATCATCCTAATCTGTCTCTACAACCAATTCTACAAGGATCTAGGGTTGGTAACATATTCGAAGATTTAGGAGTTAGGAGTTAGAATGGATGCTTACCACGTCCAATAATTGAGTTACAAAAGAAGTTCTATTTTGTCTTTTTCCTGTTTCTTTTACGTCCTGTAAAACAAAATACTGCAAACTATGTGGAACCGTACAGGTTTTCAAAATAATTTGTCTAAGTAATTGATATTATATTAAGCACAAAATAAATGTTTTGTTTTGTTTTTGTTTCTTTTTTTTCCCTTAAGCTACAGGCTGTGGTAAGGCAAAGAGACAATTCCCTGCTTGCTGCTGCTAATGCTCTGCAAGAGGCTTGTAGTGCAGAAAGACTGCTCAACTTCTTATGGTTAGCTTCGTTTTTATTTCTGAAAAAAAAAAAGAAAAAAGTGAACAGGATGTTAAATGAAATCCTTATTTCAACTTATTATTGGCATATAGTTTTCATACTCAATTTAGTTTTGCTCATTTCTATTTCCCCACACAAACTCTTGAAACTTAAAATAGATGCCCTACATGCTGTTTTATGTAAATCTTAGTTTTTTCTATTTTCTTTTTCTTCTTTTTACCTTAAATCTTTCAGCACATTATTCCTCGCTGAAGGTGATGACTTCCAACCCCGCGTTGACTGATTCTTAAAACTCCAGCACGACCTGGACCACACGAGTTCTTCACGAGAGTACAATCAAAGGGGCGTCACCTCTGATGTAGATGTCTGGTAACTTTTGGCTAATGACCGGCTTTATTTTTGTGACTATAGATGTTTTATTGTTTTTCCTGATTAGTTGGTTCTTGCTCATCATATATCTTTGTCATTATTTAGGGTAGTTCGTTTTACAGCTGATATTAGCAAGTAAGGGCCTAGATTATAATTATTACACATGCCTTTTTATCATTTATCTGCCACTTAAAAGTCAAATGTACTCATCCTGTNGAGGATCTCCAAGCTGAAAAAGAGATCCATCAATTACATTAACAAGAGAAAAGAGGTATGATTAATGCTCTATTGACAATTGACACATTTTCATAAAATTAGTGGGAATGAAACAAAGGATTTGCGTGTTGGGCTCTAGAGTAGATATGGATCGACTAACTAGAATGAAAATTCATAAGATTGTAGATATTGTATATTTGGCTTTGCATTATGATTATGTTTTTGAAATTGGACGGTGGCCGATTTTGTGGAAAAACCAAAAAATGACTATGCATGTGTGTTCATTTGGTTGGCAATTTGGTGTTGTATGTGCACTGATTAATTCTTGTTTTTGGTCAAGATAATAGAAACTTCTATATGTGGTTTATAAAATAAATTGATTTTTTTCTTTTTTATTTTAAAACTGCTTGGGTTGATTAGAAATTGTACGGGCTGTGTGGAATGAGTTTTATGTGCTTTCACATCTTTATTTCGTGATTTCAAATCAATCATCACACTCACCATGAAAAAACAACTGGTAGGAACTTCCCTCAAAATGTAAGCATTTTCTAAATTTTCTGTATGTGAAATTCATCCTCTGTGTCATTTCATCATATTACTTAAGTGGCAATTTCTGTGGTTGATGACGAATTTAATTTCTGAATACATCGTCAAAGTCGGGTTGCGAGTTTCTTCTTCTCCGGGTTCTCCCACATTAAGCAATTACTTTTAGGGTTAAAATTTAACGCTTTATGCTTTTGTGTTGTTGGGTGCAAAATTTTGTGATTTAATGTCGCTTGGGGAGAATTGCAAACTTCTTTGGAACCAAGAATGCACTTCTTATTGTCGTATTAACAGTAGTTTTTGCAGTATCTTGATTTAAATTTAGGATGTTATTGTAGGCTGNNNNACCAGAAAATGGGTGGAATCTTTGCAGGAAAAATTGGATCTTGTTTTCGTTGACGCCCCTTTTCCGTGCTTGGGCAAATCCGACGTCAATGTGATCTTTTATCCTTCTTATTACAGTCCTTACAGTGGTTCAGTTGAACAAGGTCGGATTTTTAGCTTTTTCTGCTGCTGGTTTTTTAATTTTTTTTTAAATTTTTTTAAATAATCTTAAGCTTTGTTTACTTTTTGTTGGTGGGCTCAGGATCTTTTGTAAAATGACTGCTAGTTGCTGGGGAATCAGCTCAATGATCTTCTTTAGAGAGAGTTCGGGTCTGAGTTCATGGAAAAGTTCGAGAACACCCGAGTCCTACCTCAGGTTTGTGGGTTTTTGTTTTTTTCTTTTTGTATGTTTTGGGTTTTTCCCTTAGGATCTCGACTTATTCTTTTGCAGATCATCAAGGTGTCGGTATCGCCCATCCTAATTGCCTACTTTTATTCTTGCTATCAAATTCTGTCTGTTGAAATTTTTGTCATTTCTTTACTCTTCTTTCTCTCTTTTTTTTTTTTCTATTTTTTTCTTTTTTAATATCAAGAATTGGGAGGTAGCAGAAGCTCTCAGTGTTTGTTGTTGAAACATGCTTTTTTTTTGTTTGTTTATTATGTGTGTACATATATCTTATTTCAAAAAATTGCCTCATAGAGTATTTCTTCCATTGTCCATTGCAAATGGAGCTGGAAGAGTCATTGTTGACCCTGGCATAGTGCTAATAATGGACTAGATCAAAATGGCTCAATTAAATTCTAGTGCTTCTTCAATTTAGTGAAGTTTCTAGAAAAAAAATATATATATATCAAACGGTGCAATGCACCTTGGGTCGCTACGGAAACAGCCTCCTTGTATAATTACAAGGGTAAGGTCTGCGTACAACTGACCCCCAAGACCCCAACCTGTTGGGAATATACTGGGTATGTTGTTGTTGTTGTATAGAGTATTTCTTCCGATTTGCTTTGTTTCCTCATGCGTAATTTTTTTCCCATTTTATCGTAGAAAAAAAAGGAAGTCGCCATGCAAATTCTGAAACCATTAGGATTAGATCACCAAGCCCATGATGATCAGGCCGAAGAAAAAATGGCTTCTCTCGATAAAGAAAATAAAAAGGAATATATTCTACTGTCGTTTAGTTGATGACTTTAGGGTTGCTTAATATTCTACGTTGATGAATGTGACCTTATGTCAAATAATTTGTATAGTCAATGGACAAATGCATATGATAATGCACGTTGATAAATGTGACCTTATGTCAAATAATTTTTATAGTCAATGGACAAATACTGTCGGAAAGGCTGATTTCAACACTATAATTGCTTTTCAGTTCTCTTTCATCGAATTGTTTCTGCTCATGTTTTGAGCACAATGTGGGGTTAGTTTAAGCACAATGTGGGGTTAGTTTAACAGTAATTGAAATGTAATTTTTTTGGGGTGATAATAGTATGAAGCATTAGCATGGCTGTGTGGAGGATTGGGATTTTTCGCGTCTCTTGGGCTATTGGCTGTGTGGAATGACAAGGCTTCTAAAATACCATTTGTAAGTCTAACTGGATTCTGCTTTTCTATCATTGTCTCAGTGTGGTTTGATCCTTTTAATGTGTTTGTCAGTTTAGATTTAGGTTTGTGGTTTGTTTGAACTTGTTGAGTTAGCACGAATCCTTTCTCTTTGACTTCAGGACATGAGTGACGTGTGCCGCTTCAAAGAAGTATGGTATGATCGTTGAGGAAGAGTTTCATATGCTTTTTTTCACAGTTGCAGTGAATGAAATAGTGGCCTTCCCTTTGATTGTAATAACATTGACACTAGCCCACCTCTTGATTTTGGTAGATTGGAACTTTTGGAATCAAATATGATTGTGGAACAGGTTATTGACTCTTTACCCGTGTATGAGAAAGTGCAGAGGAAAAATAACTCCTCTTGGCTTCCTAGGCACGGCTTTAGGAAGTCATTTTTCACGCATTCGGTTCGGCCCTTTACATTCGGAATTCCGTCAGGCAAGGAGGAGGAGAAGGCTGAAGTTGATGGCAAGAAGGCTGAAGTTCAACGTGATTTCCTTGTTTTCCGGTCCGAATTAGAGGAGGATGAGTTTACATTTGATGTCTTGCATAGACTTTGACCAAATATTTATTTAAAGCCGGGCGAAGTGGACTTTGGGCACCATTACCTCCAGTTTAATAAACACGCCAAAGAATTAACCAAGAATAAGTTCAATTATTTTTTCTTGGCAGAGGAGATGTACGATATCGTAATGAAACTGTTTGGTAAGTGTTCCATTTAAGAAATGCATGAGCTTGCGAAGATTGGAGAAGCTATTGCCGTTCTATGCAATGGTTGACATCTTCAGCTTTTCAGCTTACCGAGTACCAATATTTTTCAAATCCGAGAAATTGGGGTACTTGTGGGTTCCATCCGGTAAGCTGAAGATGTCAACCATTGCATCGAACGGCTATAGCTTCTCCAATCTTCGCAAGCTCATGAATTTCTTTAAATGGAACCCTTACCAACAGTTTCATTACGATATCGTACATCTCATCTGCCAAGAAAAAAGTAATTGAATTTATTCTTGATTAATTCTTTGGCGTGTTTATTAAACTGGAGGTAATGGTTCCCAAAGTCCACTTCGCCCGACTTTAAATAAATATTTGGTCAAAATCTACGCAAGACATCAAATGTAAACCCATCCTCCTCTAATTCGGACCGGAAAACAAGGAAATCACGTTGAACTTCAGCCTTCTTGCCATCAACTTCAATTTCCTCCTCCTCCTCCTTGCCTGATGGAATTCCGAATGTAAAGGGCCGAACCGAATGCGTGAAAAAGGACTTCTTAAAGCCGTGCCAAGAGGAGTTATTTTTCCTCTGTACTTTCTCATACACGGGTAAAGAGCCAATAACTTGTTCCACAATCATATTTGATTCAAAAGTTCTAATCTACCAAAATCAAGAGGGGGACTAATGTCAATGTTATTACAATCAAAGGGAATCATATATAATTATGTTTTGATCGATTTTGCTATTATGATCAATATTTGTCGAGTCGCCAGATGTCTCATATCAACATTATCAGATGCCATTTGCCGGGAGGTTGAGATTTGTGATAGCGATACTGTTACAAATCGCGAATCTTTATTCATATATAGTGTTGTTAATGACGTCACTCTATAAAAGCTTATAAAGCGAACCTGCGGTATCAAAGTCTCTCTCTCTCTCTTCATTACAATAGGTACAGGGGAATGAATACAATGAAGCTCTCTTATTGAGCGTAACTGGATTATTTGCAGTGCCCTTGAAGAGATTTATAAAGGTTCACGAAAGATAAGTAAAGGTATATCATAGTATAATATAAATATGCTTATGCTATTCTATCCTTGAATATTTTAGAGGGGATTAGTGCCAGAGCTGTTGGCTTTTTCAATGTTTCAACTTTTGAATTGAAAAGCATGAGAATATTAGAAAGAATTAATTAGCAGTCAAAGACTGAGGCTAGTTTGTAGTTTAGCATGAGAAAATACTGGAGGGATATACATATGTGGTTATGCATCTTCTGACTTCATATATGGTGATATGTACCATACAATTGTAATATGATGTGGATGCTACGATTCATATTGTATGCATTAAGAAATATCTAATTATATAGACTCAATTTTTTCTGTCATATTATTCAATTATTATATAGTTATTAATAAAAAACTATAGCTTATTTATATTTATATTTTTACTATCAATAATTATTAATTAATATTTATTCATATTGTATGCATTAAGAAATATCTAATTATATAGACTCAATTTTTTTTGTCATATTATTCAATTATTATATAGTTATTAATAAAAAACTATAGCTTATTTATAATAATATTTTTACTATCAATAATTATTAATTAATATTTTATTAGCATCACATTATATCTGATCATAAATTCTTTATTTTATATTAATTCACAATCTAAATTCTAAATATAATATATTTTTATAATCACCAAATATTAGAAACGAGAAGATTGCAAATTTAGTCCCACGTGATTGGTGCTATTGCAAGTTTGGTCCAATTAATTGCAAAAATGGCCCTTTAATTTTTTATTTTTTTTGCTGCAATTTTGCTCTCAGTCGTTAGTAAAAAAATTGATTTTAAACTTGGGACAAATTTTGCAATTTGATCTGTGGGACAAAATTTACATCTTTCTTCCCAAAAAAATTATTAATTTTAATAATTATTTCACCAAACTGTATTTTGATATTTGATTCTTAGATTTTCAACAAATTTTGATTACCTTATTATTTTTTACATTAAATCATTTTAACAATATTATTTCTTGTATGTATATTATATCAATATTTAGATAAAATAATCATAAATACTTTTAATTTTGTAAATGCAAAACACATTAATAAAACTAATTATTTATTTTTTTGTCAAGATAATATAATGTGAAAATTTAATAATATTTATTTTCTATTAGTAATTGTATCTAAATATTATCAATATTATTTTCTATTAGTAATTGTATCTAAATATTATCAATATTTATATCATATTATTGCAATAAATATTATTTCATATTTTCATCGTATGCAAATTTACAATTAAATCCAATGTTCTAAAAATTGGGTAGACACTAGACGACACCCACGTGCAATAATCTTTTTTGAAGAAGCTCTTCTAAGCTCGACCACCTATGCGGTTTCTTTTTTTATAGTATAATAAAATATATTTTAATTTTTTACATAAAATATACATTAATTATAAAATTTAATAAATAATATTAAAATTAATATAATTGCCCCGAATATATTATATATTAGATAATCTTTGTATTTGGTCATATTAAATAGTATATTATATATAATGTAACTTGTAAATAACGTATAAAAATTTAGGTCTAAACTAATCTCTGCCTAGCAAGAGCCTAATGACTCTTATAGCCTTAATTACATTATTATCCAATTCTTTATTATTCCAGATTATTTGTAGTTTCACATATAAAATTATTTATCCCAAGATATTATGTTTTCTCTTAAATACAAGTAGTATTTTCTTACCTTGTTATTAATTTTATATTCTTGTTCCCATTTCAATATTAGACTTGCTATAACTACGACGTATTGACAACATTGTTACTAAGCTTAGATAAGATAATTAATAATTTTGAAATGTCTTGTTGTTTAACTTTTAGAGGTACAAACGATGTAAAATGAAGATAATGTGCGTTATATATATATAATTTAAAGAATAAGAAATCTTATGAAATTGTATTAAGGAAACATGATTATTCTTGCAATAAAAATTATAGGACCACTTTGTAAACATTGGGACTAAATTTGTAATCCGTAATATTTTATGTGACCAACTTTACTATATTTACTTTTGTATCAATCATCTAATGAACAGTCAATGTTCCATTAACTCCTAACTATGAGACTAAAATTGCAACCAAAAAAAAATAATAATAAAAAAAAAAATAAAGGACAACTTTTACAATTTTTGGAATCAAATTTACAACTCGTCAAATCCCGTGGGGCTAATTTTACAAAATTCTCTAAAAATATTGAAAATTTAAATCTGTACTCTGTAACCCTAAAAAAAAAAACTAAAAGCCTAGAAAAAACCCNATTATCATCAATTTAGTTTTGACATTGACAAGTAAGCATCATGAATCATCATCGGGGACAACCCAGCTAGGCTAAAAATTGGGTCTATCGTGTTCTTTAGGATACTGGGGAGGAGAGGGTGTTTGATTTGCCCCGACGAGTTGCAAGTTGACAAAATTGTTTCGAGGCCCATCACTTGATTAATGTATCCTGATTTTAATCAACTTTGTTTGATTATGATACTATTTTCATCAAAAGTTGACACCTAATCTAACCTCTTACTTTTTCACTAAACAACAAATTAAAACACGTTTTCTCGAATTTTATTCAGACTTTTGTTTTGTAGGCAAAGGGGGAATATATATCTCATATATGAGCCGAAATTCCAGCAAAACCGTTACTTCAAAACCACTTTCCCTGATTTAAATGTGAATGATTAGTGTCACGGGTTTGGTTTCTGATTTGTCTTTTTTTAGACTAGTTTATACTAAATCACAGTAATTATTTTTTTGGAGTTTTATACAAGTTTTTGTATGAATGAGTCTAATCTTTATACGAGTCGACTCATTGTACTTTTTAAACAAAATTGAATACATATACTATTAAATATTATATTTCTATAAATTTTATTTTTTAAAATATGATATTTTCATAATTTAAATATGTATTTTTATAAAAAGAGCGACAACCCAACTGTTAAGCCGATTTAACTGATGACCATAAAAAATCAAGTGGGCATACATAAAATCATACACCTCACAGATGCAAATGCAGATTTTAATTTGAATCCAGTGACGCGTGGGCATCAGTCCTACATGAAATTGATCGATTAATTCACGAGCACACACGACATTTCACGTCCCCAAAATTGATTGCCATATTCGTTACATCAATTATGGTGATGTGTCCAAAATGGTCCCCATTGTCAATGTGAACTGAATTTTAAAATGCAAATATTAAATAAGAAAAAAAAAAAAATTGATGTAATACTCCATATAATGTCATATATATTCAGCTCAAGCAACTGATCATCACTTGAGATGGGTTCGGGAATTCTTTTTATATAAAACAAAAGTATTGATAGTATAACTGTTAAATCTGTCTATTATCATAATCAATGTTCATATTTTAACCCAACTGTTAGATTAATATATCAACAATTAATCTTCACAATTCTATTGCTCTACTAGAGTCTCTAAGGCACAATGGGATTTGTGGTGGTGACTGAGTTACCATGTTCGAGTACTGAGTACATATAAATATATAACTGAGTGAGGCTTGACTTTACAATTTTTGATTTTCATTCAATTATGTATAAATAAGTTTTTTTCAATGCAAGGTAATGATGTACAGTAGGAAGAGTCGATCCTACCCGAGGATATTTTCCCACGGGACGAAAATCCCGTGAAAACAGTGCTCATAAGGGATAGAGTGAAATTCACCGTTAACAATGAAAGATGCAATTAAGTATCATAATTTTAATTTATTTTTTTTATTAAAAAAAATGTATTGCTCCTAAAAGAAAGAGCCCTTTTAATTGTTCAAAATTATGTTACTAGCAATGCTTGTACTGATATGGTTTCTGAAAATGATCAGTCAACATCCTCGAGTACATCCGTGATGAGCTGGACTTCAAGCTGTGCTTATCAATTTCAGAAGCCCAGATAATATTTGTCATAAAATTCCAAATCCACTAAAAATAGCGTTAACAAAATCTCTTTGGGAGGCATAGTATCCAATTATAATTCTATATATATATATATATTTCAATAAATAATCTTTTTAAGAACTATATATAG